GGCAAGGGCAGCTGCTCTGACCCGGACCGCGACGCGCGGAGCGCGGTGCTGTCTTCGCGCACCTGGGGGTTCACCTAGTCCCAGACATCCGACGATATGATTATTGCTAGATTGCGCGGCCCCGACTATACCAACCCCTGCGATGCGGTCGGACTGGAATCTCGAGGCGAGTCCAGTGGTGGCGACGAGGGCCTTTTAGGCGACGAACAACAACTAAAACGGTGTGTAGAGTATGGGGATCGGTACCCTTTACTCCTCTGAGACCTGGTCTTCCCTTATGGGTCGGCGAAGGTGCTAGAATCTACCTTAGCTTTGGACTTGTGCCGCGTGTGAGATAGGACAGGTTGGCATGGGTGCGCACTGTCATACGGCCCCTCCCTTACTGGGGCTCTGGCCTCATCTCTACACTCTCATACTGGCTTGTTTCGTTTCTGCTGACCGAAAGAGCCCACTTCTCATTATCCGCGACTAAAACCCCGTGACTGGCCCCGCCCCCGCCTCAGGGTCACGTCACGAGTCGCGCCAGCACCGTCTGCGAATTAAACATTCAACATTCCCAAACGGCACTTGCGCGAATCGTGACGTGACCTGCCCCCTTCCGCGCTCCCCCCCCCCTGGTCCCTCGGTCACGCCCGCTATCGCCAGGGGACTAAAAAACGGTCTTCTGCCGGAAATGTTCATCTCATCGCATCTACCCTCGGGGAGACGGAAGACTGGGACTCGGGAGACTCGGGTTGGCCTGACGGGGCCATCATGAAAATGACGAGACCCAATCTGAAAATTGGCGCGAATTCCCGCTGCAAACATCAAACGGAAACTGGACCGTCAGAATCCAGGCCCCCTCGCAAAAACAAAGCGTCGGCAAACCCGGGTTCTGGAGCACCCGAGTCTTACGTTAACAGGGGATATGTCGAACCCTATCCCAGACTTCGTGAGGTTTTCGAACGGACCAGAAGTTTGGGGCCCAACCCAGGGATATCCGATGTGGGGGCGTCCATCCTCAATGGGGGTGCGTCCGAAGAGCCCTCACGGGATGTACCCCAGGGTTCCCCTCCTTTTCTGAGCGGCCTCCCCTCTCGTCGAAATAGTCGGGCGGGGAGAAAAGCCGCCTTCGATACGTTTCCATAATATTCGACTACTCGCAACAGCGACCCTGAGTAAGAGTGACCTTTGGTGTGCGGCTTTTGGGGGGCCGCGGGGTGACCAAACACGAGCGCGCAAGACGCTACTACTGCATCGCGTTCGGCAATCGGGGGACATCATTGGGCCCGCACCAAAGGTCACTCTGGCGAAATGTCACTCTTACGCCCAGTCGACTTAGATGCCCGAAATGGGTACGGAAAGAATGGGTACAATGCCCAACAACAAATGTTGTCCCAAACCAACAGCGGCCGCTGTTGGGCAGGCGGCCTTCTGTCTCGCATGGACACAGGCCGCGGCGACACCGACAGCGAGTCCTGTTCAAAATGAACAGGAACTGCTGTTGGGCATTGTACCCATTCTTTCCGTGCCCATGTCGGTCGTCCATATGAACTGGCCTCCATCTGAGCCAAAACGGCTTCCACGGGCAACTGGGACTTATGTTAACCCATGTTGAATTATGTCCACTTGTGACAACTTATGTTGACATATGAAGATATGAGATGAACTTGTTTCTGGATAGCAACTGCTACGCACATTGCTCTGATAAGCTTGTAAACAATGGCGCGAAGTTTCGGTAAGCCCACTATAACTGAAGCCATCACGGACGAGAGGCCAAAAGCCACCGAGCAATCGACGACACCTCGCCCGAGCCGGCGGGGCCCGGTGCTCCGAGGCCGCTCCTCCGGGTCGACGGCCGCCGCCGGCTGCGAGGGCCGTGAGGCCTCCGGGCGCGGGCCGCCCGCCGCGCCAGCAGAGGCGAGTGCCGTGGCCCCGCTCCGCTGCACGAGGCGCGGCCCGAGACCTCGGCCGTCGAATTTGGGCGAACGTAGGGCATCGAACTCGATTACCGGAGGAAAAATATCTGCGCACATAGACCGATTCTGGCCGGGCCCGTCCTGAGCCCAGGATCGGTGCATACGCCCTCCTACCTTGGCCAGGAAGGCACATGCACTGATCCTGGGTCAAGAATGGGCCTTGCCAAGATCGGTGCATGTGTATAGTTCTCTCCGCCAGATATACACCGACGCTTTTTCTGGCCCTGCATTGAAATTTGCACTGGAGAGCGGATCCTGTCGTTGTTTCCCCGGGACATCGGGGAAACAGTATAGACCACACAACCCCAGCGTCGTCCCCGACCCTCAACAAGTCCTGGGATTGAAGAACAGCCCGCCACTGGTGATGTATATGTTCCAGTTTTCGAGAAAGAGCATTCCCTGAGATGCTGGCGTTGCGAGTTTGTCACAGTGGGCTTCTTCGCCCCCTTTCGAGGCCTGGGAGCCTCACGGATCGATCCGGCTCGAAAAGGTGGCGCAGAAAGCCAGGGTCCAGGGCTCTGGTCGTGGCTTTTTGTTGGGATGTTGTAATGTTTCCGCAACGTCGGATCTCAGGGTCGTTCCGCTGCCCGAGACGAAACCCGAGACCTCGGTCGTAGAACTTTGATGAAAGAGCATCAGGGGGCAAAGGGCAATATAAAAAAATGTTTCCGCCGTCGGGGACGGCTGCACCCCGGGCGGCTGGAAAAAAATCTACCCTTACGGTGCCACGTAGGGGTATAAACTTTCCAGCCGCCCAGGGGGACGGCATCCCCGACGGCGGGAACAATTATTTTGAGATTGTGCTTCGCCCCATAAAGATAACCCACACACCCGGGTACGGTAGGTTCGTGCGGCGTCGGCGCGCGCAAAAACTTTTGCCACCGCGTCGACCGTTCAAACTTGAACCGATCGCGGTCCCGATCGTTCAAGGTTGAATTCCATCGGGCCCTGTGGGGTTACCGTGCCTTTCAGTACTTCCGCGCCGTTCTATCAAACCAAGTACAACCTTGAACGCCTTCGCCGGCGTCAGGGGGGCACCATCGCCGCATGAACCTATCGTATGGTGTGTCCTGTTCGCTCGTCCTAGATTCGCGCATCGCGCCCCGCCATGCGCGACGCACCGATAGCTTCGCGTCCTCGAGCCCTCGCGCCGACCACTGGGACAAGGATCCGACGTCGCGAAAAAATTGCAGCATCACAGTAAGTCGCGACCAGAGCCCTGGGCCCCATCTGTCTGCGTCATTTTTTCGAGCCGGATCAATCTGTGAGGGTCCAGGGGCTCGAAAAAGAGCGAAAGAGCCCGTTGTGACGAAATCGCAGCGCCAGCATCTCAGGGCGTGTTGTTTGCTCGTCATAGCCTCGCGCATCGCGCCGCGACGTGCGCGATGCGCCGTGGCCGTCGCGTCCCCGAGCGCTCGCGCCACCCACTCGGAGGGCAGGCAAAGCGGCGCTGGCGCAGGCACAGGCCCCCGAGAGGGGCGCGAGCATCTCCCCGCGCCCCCGCGGGTGGCCCAAGGGAACGGCCCAACAGACGAGGCCTCGGCAGCCCGACAGCCTCGAACGGCGTCCGAGATCCTCGGCAGCCTCGACAGCCTCGACAGCCTCGATAGCCTCAATGGCCTCGGCAGTATCGTCAGCCTGGATTTTGGACACCCGAAATGGGTACCGAAAGAATGGGCAACATGCCCAACAACAAATGTTGTCCCGAACCAACAGCGGCCGCTGTTGGGCGGGCGGCCTCCTGTCTCGAATGGACACAGGCCGCGGCGGCGCGGACAGCGAGTCCTGTTCAAAATGAACAGGAACTGCTGTTGGGCATCGTACCCATTCTTTCAGTACCCATTTCGGGCGTCCAGATGGATGGCCCGATGGCCTCGATCTCCTCGACAGCCTCGACCGCCCGAGGCCTCGACGGCCCGACCGCCTCGGCAGCCCGACCCGAGCCGCGGCCCGCGAGGGGCGCGAGCATCTCTCCGCGCCCCCGCGGGTGGCCTAAAAGAGGACGGCCGGGCGAGGCTGGAGATGGCGCCCGGTGGCCTCGGGCGGGACCGCACGAGCGCTCGTCAATCGGGTCGGGCGAAAGGGGGGGATAGCAAAAGGGGGGTTTGAGAATCAGCTCACGTAGCTGATTTTCCCGGCGCCTCCCGGCGCCGGAGGCGGCCACGTATCGAGGAATGGGCCCCTCGGTGAGGCCGAAATCAGCTGCATGCAGCAAATTTCGTAACCCCCCTTTCCCAATCCCCCCCTTTCGCCCGACCCGAGTCAAGGCTCGTTGTCCCTGCGGTCTGGGTCAGGGGCTGCGGCTCGCAGGCCGAGAAAGTTTTTGAAGAGCACAGGCCCCGTAGAAGCTGCTGGGCTGAAGACTCCGGAGGGCCTCGGGGCCACGCCCCACGCTGTGAGGAACCTTGCACGCACGCTTCTGGAACTCGTGGAAAGGTGAAAAAAAGCGAGATCACGAGACAGCAGGGCAAGGTAACTCTGGAGCTGTTTCCTTCTTCAAGCAGAACACATCGGCGGAGCTGTTTGAACGTCGTAGTATGTCCAAGGAGGCCTTTGCTAACTGTTACCCGATACGCGTGCAGTCAAGCGGCCGGAGCTTCCGAAACTATTTCGCAGGACTGTCCAGAAGCTTCTGCGCGTCCGACCCGATCATACAGAACGAGCATAGTGTAGCAGATACGTGGTCCGAGCGGCGTGGCCCGAAAGCGCTCGGCACGACGCTTGCACTACAAGAATTATCGGCACGCGCGTCGCCCCTGGGGGGGGTCGGGGGGGCGACGCACGCACAATATGAGTATGCTGGGGTGGCGCCGATCGAACGGCGTGCGCAATGGACGGCGCTCAGACCTCTATCCTTCTCGATCCTCGGACCTTGGACCTCGACACTCTGTCCTCCTATGGGAGGAGGAGAAAGAGGAGGAGGAAGAGGAGGAGGAGGAGGAGGAGAGGAGGAGGAGGAGGAGGAGGAGGAGGAGAAGGAGGAGGAGGAGGAGGAGGAGGAGGAGGGAGAGGAGGGGGAGGACGAGGAGGAAGAGATGATGAGAGCGAAGCAGGAGCGCGCCGATCCTTGCCGACGCGACCCACCCCCGCGCCCGAGGCGCGGGAAAGGCCAGCGGCCTCAGGAGGGGGCATTCATCATGGCCCCGCAGCACGGGCTGCAGCCAGCCGAGCCTCGAGCGCAGCGCACTCGGCGCTCGCCAGCTCGTGCTCCCGCCTGGCCCGCGCCACGGCCTCGTCGGCGGCCTGCTGGTCCACGGCCGCCTTCTCCTCCTTCTTGGCCCCCTTGCTCAGGGCAGGCTTGGGCAGGTGCTTGCAGCCCCTGCCGCCGAGCCCTCGAAGGCCTCTCGAACGACCTCGTCCTCGCCGCCGAGTTCCGAGACGGCCCGCGGCGCCAGCAGCGCCGCCAGCTCCGCCTCGATCTCCGCGTCGTCGTCCACCTCGTCGACCTTCACCTCCTTGCTGGTCGCCTGGCACCCGTCACTGCTCACGATGTCGACCACCTGCACCCGGAGCGACTGTTTGGGCCAGAACACAGAGACAGTGCCCACGAGGTCGCCGCACACCACAGGCGGCAGCGGCAAGCCCATGAGGACGCAGCACCCGGCCTTCAAACTAGAATTACGGCCCTGAAAACTGGATTGCACTCGCCACAAAGGTATCACAGGCTGTGGCCAACTGCCTGTACCAGTGCATGGGCATTGGGGCCCCCAGCGGGACTGGCTCCCCCAGGCCGCGCTTCCAGCTGCGCATGCAGTCGAAGACCTGCTTGGCGGCCTCGACCGCCTCGCCGAGCACCTTGCCGTCAAGCACAGCATACCCCGATGAGCGGGCAACTGCCGCTGAGATACTGCGCAGCTCCAGACAAAGGCGCCTCGAGGAGCGGGCCACTGCCACGGAGAACCTGCACCTCTGCACATCCCATGCGGAAAGGCCCCGTGGAGATTTTGGCCTGGATCGGGGCGCAGCCTGGACCGCTGCCGCCCGCAACAGGCACAGCATCCCCCAGACGCGGCTCCCCGAGGAGCGGGCCACTGCCGGAAGCAGCAACCCCATCCGCTGCATGCGGCGCCCCGAGGAGCGGGCCACTGCCGCTGAGATGCTGCAGCTCCTCGTGCTGTGCGGCCTCGCTCGCCGCGCCGCGCAGCGCGTCGTCGCCGCCGTCGGGCAGCGCCGAGGCCAGCGCCCTCGCGCGCCTGCCCTGCTGCCTGCGCCTGCGCCTGCGCGGGCGGCCAGGCCCCGCCGCCTCGCCCACGTCGAGCGGCTTCACCCATCGGGGACCGCGGCCGGCGCACCGGTCTGCCCCTCAGCCGACGACAAGCGGATTTGCGCGACCGCCTCCGCGCCAGCCATCGGCGCGCACGGCATTGCATGCGGGTTGCAGCGGCGGCGAGCCAAGGGGAGCCCTGCATGCCAGCCTGCTTCCAGCCGCACGACGGCACCGCCTCGACGAATTGCGCCTCCAAGCCGAGGGTGCCGTACTCGAACCCGCACGCGCCGTCGTCGCAGCCGTCGCTCGGCTGCTGTTCCGCTGGAGGGGGCGGGGCGGCAGCAGCGGGGGCCACGCCTCCGCCAGAGCTGCTCCAGCGTCGGCGCGACCTGCCGCCCTTAGGTACTCCAGATTGTGTAATAAAAGGGAGGGGGTCTGGACCCTCCAAGACAAGCCATTTCAGACCTCCCCCGTGGGAGAACCCTCCAAAACATCGTCCCCAGACCCCCCCAGGCCCTCCAAGATAGCCTGGAAGAGACCCCCCCGAAATGAGACCCCCCTCCCTTTCTTACGAAATCTGGAGTACACGCCCAGCGCCGCGCGCAGAGCCACGGAGTCCGCGCGGAGAGCCGCGATGTCCTTCTCCACCACTGGCTGCCGCGGCGGCTCCACGCGCAAAGCGGCCTCCGGCGGCCACGCGGAAAAAAAGCCAGCAGGCCGCCCCGCAGGCCGTGCAGCGGCGGCCGCAGCAGGGCAGGGTCGCGACCAGCAGCGCGTCAAACAGCTGCACGACTGCAGTCGCTCCGCATCGGTCGGGACTCTCCGGCGGCGCAGCAGGCGCGGAAGAGGGGCCCGTCGCCAAGAACGCCTCGGGAAGGCTGGGAGCCGGTTCCAAAGCGCCGAAGCGCAGTTGAGCCAATACGGCTCTCGAGGCCGAGGAGGAAGAGGAAGAGGAAGAGGAAGAGGAAGAGGAAGAGGAGGAGGAGGAGGAGGAGGAGGAGGAGGAGGAGGAGGAGGAGGAGGAGAAGGAGGGGGAGAACGCTGGCGATGACATCATGTTCCTCCGCGGCGACGCGGGGCACGAGGCGTCGAGCGGCAGCACCGCACCGGGAGCCGCCGGCGGCCCGCACTGGAGGGCCTCCGAAGAGGGCGCGGCGCCCCCTCCCCCGCCGCCCCCAGGAGGCGCCCAGGGAAGATCCCCCGCCGCCCCTAGGAGGCGCCCAAGGAGGAGGCCCCCCCGCAGCCAGCGCCCGAGCGGCCGAGAGCGCTGAAGACCACCTGGGCGACGATCAAAAACATGTTTTCCATGGAGCACAGCCCCGCGAGAAGATGCGTACACCAACAGGGAGGCCAGCGGGAGGAGCAAGAGGGCGCGGAAGACAGCGAGGAGGGAGGAGCGGGGGAAGCGGAATGGACGCCAAAGCACAGCACGAGGCTCCAATGGCAGGCCAGACACTAACACTTGAGCAAAGAGGAGGACAGTGCAGAATTGCAAGGTCGACTAGACGATCAAAAACAGGCCTTCGCGAGATGACGCAGCCACCTGACGCGGTGGCTTACGCGGGCCGCCAGCGCGGCACGCCACAGTGGAGACGAGGGCGCCTACGCGCGACCTTACGCGGGCAGCTTACGCGCGAATGTCGGCGCGATCGACCCCGTGTTCTTGCATCGCTCATCTGAGCTGAGAGAGACTAACCACCCTTGGCTGCTCAATTGTGCCTCCGGCAGGCCTTGGATGGCAGGACAGCGCCTTGCTGCGCGAGTCGCAATCAGCGACGTCAGCCGTGGTTCCCCAAATGGCGGTGTGGTGCCCGAAGGGTTTGGCTCCGAACGCCCTGCTAGGGCCACCGCCCCAGGCGAGAAAGTTCCGAGACCAGAATGGACCGCAGGAGCCACGCCTCAGGCAGGCTTCGGAGCTAGGTCGCTGTCTTCCCAGCCTCGAGACGCCCTCCGCCCCCACCCTCAGCACCTCGGACGACCTCTGGAAAATCCGCAGTCCAGCCCACGGCCGCCCCAAGACTGTCCCAGGACGGCCCCGAGACGGCCCGAGCCGATCCACGAGGCCGTCGGAAATCCCACAGGTGTCATCTGGGACCTCAGGGCGATTGTTGAGAGACGAAAAACAAAAGGTCCATAAATAGTCGAAGGTCCGCCCGGACTTCTTAGATCTGCGCTGGACCCCCCTCCCTGGCGCACGGAGCGCGCTAGGGGAGGCGCACGAGGCGCCACCAGGGAGGGGGGTCCAGCGCCGATTCAAGAAATCCACACGGAGCGCCGAAAGACCGAAAGATTTTGTTGTTGTAGCTGTTTCTTCTTCGCAGCGTGCTCAAACAATGCACCGGCGAGAGAGACTTGCCTCACCACGAGCATCCGGCACTGGGTGCGGCTCGACGACGTCACCCTGCGTGCCTCCGTGGGTATGCGCCTGTTCGTGCGATGCCGACAGGGGAAGACGAAGCCGAGGGAACAACATCGGACCAGAACAAATCGGGGATCTCTGAGATCCAGCTGGTCTGGAGGATGTATCGGGCGATGCGGCCTTCTCAGAGCGCTCCAGAATGCTCTGAGAGCGTTCCGGAACGCTCTGGAACAATATCTCCACGTCCTAGTATTAGCTCGGACATGCACTCCTACAGGGGGATGTTGGACGAACAATGTTAAAACATCGCCCAAAAAGAAATGCTCAAACATAGTCGACACCAGTCAAAAAATCGTTCCCTAACTATCTTATGATATTTTTCCATATCTCTCCTGTAGAGCGCCAAGCCGACTTAGCCCTAGTACCGCCCGGCAAGGGCCAGCACTCCGCGAATCGTCTGTCCTGTCCAGGGCGTCTTGCGAGGGCGAGGCAGGGAGCACTCGAAGCAGAGATGAAACTCCCCCCCTCCGCTCCCGTGGGCAGAGGTGCACTGCAAATCGCCACGCGTGCGGGCAAGGTCCCTTTGGAAGTTCCCGTCGCGTTTGTGTGCCATCGCTGGTGGGATGTTTTTTGTAAGGGACCTGTCTCGTTCCTGGACGACCCCCGCGTGCGTGGTGCTACTCACGAGAAGTGCACCGTTGCAGGGGCACAGCTGCTCTACCTTGCGCGGGCTGCAGTGCACAGGCCCTTTCTGCGCAGCCATCAAATCCTGCACTCTCCTGTGCTGCAGGTCTGCGTGCAGACCCCTCTGTCATTCGAAATTCGTATTGACGGCCCTCCTCCTCCCCCACCGCATCCCCCTCCACCTCTGGGGCATTGGCAGAACTGGCTTTGGTGGGACCTGGTTTAGTGATGTGTACTGGGGGGCGCCCCCCCGCCCCGTTCCACTAACCGGAACTGCCGTCACCCGAACAAAAGCACCAGCTACGGCAGACCTGGTTCAGTGAATCTGGCAAATTTTAAGGGCTCCAGGGCCCTACAACTAACTGGGTGCCCTTACCTGGGGTCCTGGCTACACCCGAAGATCGGCGACAATAGGCCCCCGAAATCGAACCCGCTCGCTCCTGGGCAGGGTAAGTCCCTGTCAGCGATCAGTGGAAGAGCGGGAGTGTTCATGCATCCCCCCCTAGAGGCCTATCCAGAGGCCTCGCAGATGGGGTCCGAATAGATGGGGTCGGAGTATCGCGCCGCATCGCCGACGGTGCATCGGCGACGCCGGCGTGGAGAAACTCCACGCTCCACATCCAACCTTTATCGCAGATGCATCGGCGATACGGCGCAACCATCCAACCCATCTACTCCGACCCCATCCAGGGGGCCTAATTAGACTATGCCCCCCTGACGTTATCCCCGAATCCCTGCCGGGTGGCGATCAACCATCGATTCTTCTGAGTCGGTGCGAGGCGGGGGTCAGGGGCTCCTGGGCGCGCGCTTCGAGCTGCACGAAGCGCAACGAACTTCGCGCTCCCGCGCCGCCCCCCCGGAGAGGAGGAGGAGGGGGGAGGCATCGGAGCCGAGGCGCGACGCGCGACAAGCGCGAATCACCTCGCGCCCTCGACGACGCCCTGGATCGATGGAGGCGGGGGTGAGGTTCGGACTTCGCCACGGGTTCGACGCACTCCGAACCCTGCCCACGCCGCCCATGGTGGGCTTGTCTTTCACCACCACCACCCTGAGTAGGAGAGGGAGAGGGTCCTCCTCCTCCTCCCCCTCCTCCTCCTCCTCCTCCTCCTCCTTCGCCCCTCCAACGCATGGTGGTGGTGGAAAACGAGCCCACGCCGCCCAGCGCGTTGCCCGAAGCGTTGATCGGCGGGGGGGGGCAGGCTTCGGACCTCGCCACGCCGCCCTCTGGACGGCCAGGCACCTCGCCACCTCCACCTGAGCAGGGACCGACCGTCCCGGCATTCCTGTAGTCCTACCTAGGACCCCAAAATGTTCTAAGAACCAAAACAATGTTCTTAGAACATTCAGCCTTATGTGTTAATACAAGACAGCCCCAGTCAGAAATGTTCTAAGAACCTTTCGTGGGAACCACAAGAAGGCTCTTAGAACATTGTCTGGTAGGGCTCTAGGCGAGCCAGGACGCTTCGCCACTGCGTGATCGACACCTCCGCCGCTGCTCCGGAGTCCACCCCCCCGGCCAGGTCTTGGGGGGGCGGGGTGCACGGCGGAGGAGCAGCGGTGCTGGCCTCCCTCCCTCGGGGGCGGGCGGAGGTTCCCTGCCCACGGGCGCCCTCGAGAAGGGGGGGCCCCGCAGGGCTCGAGCTGAGCAAGGCGCTCTCCGTGGCCGGTGTGCGCTCGCTCTCCCTCGCTGCGCCTCCGTTCCGCCCTGGGCCGCCAAACGGCACCAAAATGGAGGCGACAAACGGAATCGTTAAGTCGGGCCTGTCCCTCTACAGGGGGAAATATTCAGAAATAGTCATAGTCTGGGGACTATTTTGTCTAGCATTTTTTAACAATTCTGGAATATGTTTCAAGTCTGTTTTCTTTTTCGTCGAAGATCCCCCTGTAGGGGGACACGCCCGACTTAACGGAATCGCCAAAACACCGTTGAGCTCGGGTCCTGGGTCCCTCGACGTCCCGGGGCACGACTCGGCGGAGCGAGCCTAGGGGGAAAACAAACCTGCCTTGCTTTTGACCACCCTCGCTTCCAAGAGGTACCAAACGATGCCAAATTGCAGCCTGTACTGGTCAGGCCGCTTGACGAGGAGGCGCGTGGTATGCCTTGGTTTTGCCTGGAAGCGAAAGCGGGGCAGGTAACTCACGTTCTGAGAATCAAGGGTCGTCACATATATATATATATATATATATATATATATATGTCCGATCGAAAGCGGGGTAGGTAATTCACGCTCGATGTCCCGGGGCACGACTCGGCGGAGCGAGTCAAGAGCCGTCGAGGAAGCGTGCTCGAGGAGCGCCGAAGGAGGGGAGTCGCCTTCCTCGGCCACGGGCGGGCTCCTTCACCTGACTGCCAGAGAGGGCTCGAACATTAGAGGAGGAGGAGGAGGAGGAGGAGGAGGAGGAGGAAGGAGGAGGATGAGGAGGAGAGGAGGATGATGTGAAAGGATGAGGAGGGAAAGGAGGATGAGGAATGAGGAAGGAGGTGAGGATGAGGAGGAGGAGGGGGGGAGGACAGGAGGAGGAGGAGGAGGAGGAGGAGGAGGAGGAGGGATGAGGAGGAGGGGAAGGAGGAGGAACTTCTGGGGGCCAGCTCCCGGGGGGGAACATCGAGCTGGCATCGGCGACACGTCGCCGACAGATCGGGAACAGGCCCTCGGTAGCGAAACCGCACGCTCCTGCAGGCGATTCACCACCGGCGGTGGGGTGCCGGGGCTTCCCGCCCTGGGCCAGTCCCCCCGTGCTGTTGCCCCTGAGGCACACAGGCATGCCGTATAATATAACAACGCACGATAAGGATGCACGGGCCTTCCTCCTCCTCCTCCTCCTCCTCCCCCGCATGTTCCCAACGCTCAGGGTCGGCGGCCCAGCCGTAAGGCCTTCCC